TGTGTGTGTGTGTGTGTGTGTGGCCAGCTCAGCCCACCAGGGGGCGGGCTGGCTGGCTTGTGGTGCTGGGGAATCGAACCCCGGTCCCCATGCTTTGCTGAGCTTGTTCTAAGTAGGTGCTCTAGACCACTGAGCCATCTCACCAGCCCCAATATGTATTTTTAAATAGAAAAACATTCAATGAAAATTTCAAAGAATGCAAAAGTATAAAGAACCAAAAGGGAAAATCCTTTCTCCATTCCCATCCCAGCAGTAACTACCATGAAGAGTTTGTTAAACATATAGATATATAAATATCATTTATTTTCAGTGAATATACCGCTATGCTGTCACACTCTCCAGCAACATGCTGGGTTTTTTTTCAGTTGGCCTGGGCTCTTTCCCCATACACGGACTGATCCGAGCCCCTTTTCTAGGCTCCGCACCTTGCTGCATGCAGGAGTACCACCCTGATCAGTCCCCCATCTGTGGGCATTTTGGTATCCATCAGCTCTTTTGCAGTTACCAACAATAACAATGAATATCTTTATACAAATACAGTGGTGACTCAGTTCACAAATGCTTTTGTTTACAAATAAGTTGGTCTTGGCAAAATTGTGTCTTTGTTTGCAAATGTGGCATCGGGTGATGCATCGGGCCATCTCCTTCAGAATCGTGGAACAAGTGAAGTTCATGAACCAGAGCACCACTGTAGCTTTGATTCCATGACCAATTATGCCTTAACATGAGTTTTTAGAAGTGCATTCTCTGGATCAAGTAGAGGCACATTTTGGAATTTTGATCAAGGCTGTAAAATTGTTCTTGAAGTATCTTGTACTGATTCAGTGTCCCGCCTACCACATTTTCCCCTATTCTGCCTTAGTTTGCATTCCTGGATCAGTGAGAAGGAGCAGAAGTCGATATTTGCAAGTAAGCTTACTCAGGAGAGTCATGTTGATAAACAAAAAGAAGACAGCCACAGGATCCTCTAAATAGAACTGATAACCAAGTTAAAGGGAAATAGCTAATTGCCCTCTCCTTAGATGGGGCGATTAATTGTTATTTATTTATTTGGTAGAGAGTCTCACTATGCAGCTTGAACTAGTAGTGATTCTGTCTCAGCCTCCCCATTGCTGGGATTACAGGCATGTACCACCATGCCTGGTTTTCAAAGCCAGTACAATGCAGGGCCAGTTCAGCATGAGGTACTGGGGATCAAACCCAGGTCCTTGTGCTTGCCAGGTAGGTACTTAGACCACCCAGCTATCTCCCTGGCCCAAAGTTTTTATTTAATGTCATGACATCAAACATTGTGCAGTTAGTTCACTCAAAATGTCCATGTGTGCTGTTTGAGACCTTTGGACAGGAAGTAATAGGGCTCATGGTTTGGGGAAATTAACGTGGCAGATGGATAAGAATGAGCAATAACTGAATTCACCAGGCCAGTAGAGAAGAGAATTAATGTTTATCAAGCTCTTAAGATGAGCAGTCCCTGTGCCAGGAGCTTGCTTCATTAAATCCCCACAATCTTGAGAGGCAAGTGAAATCATCCCCATTCTCTGGTGAGGAAATTGAGGTTTAGTTTGTTTAGCAGCATGTCAAAGGCCACTTGACTGATGAACAGCGGAGCTGTGATGTGAGCTCAATTCCGTGAAAACTCAGTTCCTGGGCTTGTAAGGAAATATCACATTATTTCACTGTGGGAAAAATTCAGAAGGAAATTTCAAAAATACTATGTATCTCTTGTGCCTCCTTAGATGGGCGGATGTGAAGCTGTCCACCTGGCTGCCAAGCACTGGCTGGTCGGGGTGGTGGACCAGGCTGCTGCTCAAAGCCACAGGCAAGAGGTGTTTCAGCGGAGTGGCACACACTTAGAGGGCAGGGACATGAAGGGCACCGGGGCTACGGTTTGGGCACTATGCAGTTGGACATAGGGAGAAGAAAAGGAGCCAGTGAGGCACCCCGAGGCTCAAGACAGGGAGGACACAAGCAGACAGCTTCCCTGGTGCTCTGGGGCAGCTGGTGGGTGGGCACTTCCAGGAGTTGATGCTACCTTCCCTACAAATGCCCCTGTTTCTGATCAGGGCCAAAAAACAAAGGGGCCTTGTAGAGTGGCTGGCTTCTGGTCCCTGCCAACCAGGACTCTGTCACCCGCCCTGCCTGGCACCATCCCCTCCCCCAGCCCCAGAAGCTACTCTTTGCCCTTCACAGCAAAACCAGAGGAGACACAAAGCAGAGCTCAGCCCAGCTGTGGCCAGCACCTGCCAAGTCTGAGTCCTGCAGCTTCAAACCTGGGGGAGCTGGTGGGGAGCTACAGAGGTGGGGAGGTGCAAGAGTAGGGTGGATGACAAGAGGCTCCCCTGAGCAGCCTGGCAGCCCTTCCTCTCCCTTTCCCTCAATAGAGGAAGGCAGAGAAAAACGTGTTCTTATAAATAGCTCCAGCCCAGCTGATTTGTAAAATCAGTGGGTTTTTTTCTGTGTCAATGACATCACCCTCCTCCCCATGGCAACCCCCAACGATATCAAAATTGCCAAGCAACGTTGGAGCAGCTCGCGCCCCAAATGAGCAGGTCGCTGCCTGAGGATTTAATGGAGAAATCCTAACGTGAGCGGTGCAGGTGGAGGAAGGGCGACCGGGGTAGGGTTTCGGCCGATAGGCCAGGGCCGGCGGGAGGGGCCGCCTCCTCCCTGCCAGGGAGCGCGGACTCGCGAAGACTGTGAGGCCCGCTGCCTCTGACGATGGATGGGGGAGGGTACTGCTCCCTTCCTGACACGCCAGGAGCCGCAAGCAGCCATCCAGGTGACTAAGCCGGCCCACCGCCACTGAGTCACCCGCCCTCCACAGCTTTTTTTCCTTCCCTTTTACATTTGATTATTTTGGGAGCTGAAAACTTGGAGCTGCACCTGAGTCCCGCCCCTTCTAGCTCTCCCCTCCCTACCTCGGCTTGGAGGAAGATGAGACTTGCTAGGAATCTGCCGCCACCCCCTGAGGACACGGAAGGCTCGATGGAGGGGGCCAGAGGTGCCTGGGAAAAGACCGCAGCCGGCAGAGTGCAATAGCAGACATGGTGATCCGGCTGCCTGGGTGTCCTCCGGAGGTGTCAGGAGAGAAGGGGAGCCTTGTCCCCGCCGACTGGAGTCCTCCCCGGGCTGGCTTTGAATGGGCCTCTCACAGGAATGTTTCTGTAAAGGAGTGGCTTCTAAGGTCAGAGTGGCATTTGAAGAGCCAGCCTGGGTTGGCTTAGGCAGGCCTGTGCAGGTAGGTGGCTCTGTGCTGGGTGTGGCCCCACATGGATGTGAGAGAGTAAGCGGGTGAGGGTGTGTCGGTTGGCCAGTGGACAGCCGGATGGGGAACTTGACAGGGATTCACCCTAACTGATACTGGGTTGGCCTGGGTGCTGCTGGGTGTAGCAGAAGGGACACCGAGCACATGGCCTAAGCAGGTTGAGAAGCAGCTGCCAGCTCTTGCAGGCCCAGGCCCTCTCTTGGTCCAAGGACAGAGACACAGCAAGATGCCAAGGTAGGAAGTGGTCCCAAGGGTGAAAGCCAAAGCTACTAGGGGGCTGGACAGCCCTGAACACCAAAGAAACAGCTTCCTGCCAAGAACCTTGTCACTTTCTATGCAGGGCTGATCAGCACCTATGAGCACTGCATGCTGAGCCCACCAGCACCTTCAGGGAGTAGGGTGCTGGCCAGGGCCATGATGGGGCCACCTGTGAGCCCTAGGCCCCCACAAGGCATTCCCTCTGTGCCCAACAGAGGGGCATGGGCCCTGCATCCCCCACACAGCTGGCAGCTCTTGGCATACCAGTGAGCAAGCTGCCGGAGAGAGGGCCGCTGTGTGCCCACAGAGGCAGGCGGACACCAGCCAGGAGTCTTTGGGAGAAGAGGCTGGCAAGAAAAGTATTGAGGTTTTCTTTTTCTTTTTTGCCTGAAGGGAGCATCACTTCCTGGGCTGGAGACAAGCACCAGCCTGCTGCAGGAGAACGTGAGGCCCACCTGCCCAGAAGGCGTGGCCAAGGTAAGGTCCCCTCTGCTGTGGCAGGCCCTGGCTTCCTGGGGCGGGGACTGGGTGCCAGGGTGTCAAGGCCACCCCCCACCTGGAACAGGGCACTCACTGCATTCCTAAAGAAGCTTGAATTCCTGGGCTAAGGAGTCCCATGCTCCCCGGCCCTCCCCCCCTACAGTTGAATTTTGAAACAGTCTAATCCAGGCTGGGCTTTGGGTCCCTGGCCAGGAAACAGGCTGGTTTCTACAGTTTCTGCATTCACCTCCAGCTCTTGCTGGGCCAGGCCAGTGCCACCACGGGAGGCTCCTCTCACCTCCCCCTCATGTATTCATCCCTCAAGTATTTATGGAGCGTCCTCTGGGTCCCAGGCCCAAGTGATGCCCTTTCACTATGTTTGGCCTGGCACAGATTCTGAAACTCAGCATCAGGCCCAGGTCAGGAGCCGCCTAACTGAGCATGGCTGCTTGTCACAGGTGTCAGCTCCCCAGGCTCAGCAGGCTGTCTGAGCTGGTGGGCCTGAGGACAGGAGGCCCGGTGAGCTCAGGAGTACACAGCTCAGGGGCCCCAAGGAGCACATTCCCCTATTTGCTTTTTTCCAGGCACCACACACCAGGGCCAATGGTTTCTGCATTTCTGCCTATGGTCTTTCCCTAAGCTGGTTCTGGTGGGAACTGACCTCTAGCAATGGATAACAGTGCGGGACTGTGTGACGCCCAGGTCCTTTGGGCCTGGTTCCCAGTCCCATGGGAACTCATTAGTGGAGACTGAGCTGACCCAGGAGCCCCTTTGCAGGCAAGCTTCCTTGCAGTGATCCTGATGACAGGTCAGGCTCCAGGTGGCAAGACTGGGAGCTCTAGTGACAAGAGAATCAGGAGAGGGTTGCCACCAGGAGCCAGTCCTTCTGGAAGCACATGATTCAGGTGGGAACTCTGTGCCTGGGAATGTGGCAGGATGGACGTATGGGGCCTGCATGTGCCTTCCAGTCCTCCAGGGACCGACCGATTTTCTGTGAGAGGTCTGCATTCTCTGGAATGGGCCAGGTGGAGGCAAGGCACAGGACCAGGGTATTCCAGCCAAGGCAATGCCCACTCTGTACTGCTCCTAAGGATGTCCAGCAATGTCCCCTTCCCTGGGAGGACACATGGAACCACGGTCATGAAGAGAGCCTATCCAGCTCTCCCATACCGGGCTCCAGGCTGAGGATGATGACCCAGTTGAGGACAACTTCCTGCTTCTCTCCAGAGGTTGGCTGTAAGCTTGAGTGGCTCCAGGTATGCAGAGTTGCCCAGCTGGGAGGCAGAGTGGCAGGGGCAAGTGGGCATCAGGCAACAGCAGGCCAGCAGGATAGATCTGGCTGGGCCAGGAGGGAGCAGGCAGCAGAAGCCAGGGCACAGCGACAGGAGATGAAAAAGCTGCTGGGATATGAAGAGGGCTCAGGGAAGGCTCAGCACAGCCAGCTTCTCGCACCTGCTCACCTCTGTGGGAGTATCCCTCTGTGAAGGACACAGGGCAGGGCCAGGCAGGGAAGAGGCTGAGACTGGAAACTACATTCTTACACACTCAGCCCGTGGACAGAGTCCTGGTGCAGAAGGCAGCACAGGCTCATCTGAGAATGGTGCTATCCAGGCCATCCATGGAGAGGCCCAGCACGTAGCTCAGCCAGACTTGGCCGTGGGAAAGACACCAGCAAACCTTATAGACGGGTATCTGGCAGCCTACCCCAGGGGCTTCAAGGAGAGGGCTGTTTCTGTCAACTTGTGGTGGAAAGAAGTGAGCTAGCCAGGAGGTTGGGCCAGAGCACGGGAACGGGAGCTCCTGAAGCCACGGCTGGCCCTTGTGTTCAGGGTGGGCTCTCTGTCCAGTCCTGGGAAGCTGCCCTTTCTGAATGAGGAGCCAGCCAGCACCCTCCCCCAAGGGCCAAGGTGAGAAGTAGGAGGTGTGGAATAAAGGGACTGTCATTTCCCAGGGCCTAGGCCTGCTCTGTGTGGCTATAACGTACCCCACGACACTGGGCAGCTTACACACCACAGAACTTTATTTGGGCCACAGTTCTGGGGCCTGAGAAATCCAAGACTGAGGGCTCACAGCTGACAAGAGCCTTCATACTGTGTCACCTGCAGCAGAAGGCAGAAATACAAGAGTGCTGGGGTACAAGAGCACGATGGACTCGCTTTTTTAATAAACCCTCATGCTAAGGACATTAATTCATCCACAAGGGCAGAGTCCTCACAACCAAACTCTCATACTGTTGCTTTGGGGATTAAATGTCCCACGTGAACTTTGGGAAGGCCACATTTGGACCACCACACCTGGCAAGATGTGGGACCTGTCTGCTAAGGAAAAAGCTCTGGGTGGGGGTGGGGGAAAAGCGCTCGTGGAGAAGCAGAGCAGAGCTCTTACCCTGGGAAGTTTGCAACCCTGGAAAAGAACAAAGGAATGGAAAAGAACCCGACTAGGTGGTTTTGTCATTTTGCTCACTTTGGGACCTAGATGCATCCCTGAAGTTGTCAGCCATGACTCATCTAGTCTAGGTAATTTATACATTTCAATCAATCCTGGAAGATGGTTTCTAATGTCAAATTTTATAAGCATAGACAAAAAACTGGGCATAGTGACATGCACTTACAATCCCAGCACACAGGAAGCTGAGGAAGGAGGATTGCCATGAGTTTGAGGCCAGCCTGAGCTACATACATCATGAGTTCAAGATCAGCTTAAACTGTAGAGCAAGATCTTATTTCAATAATAACAACAACAACAACAACAAAAAAGATTAAGTCAGGAATGAGAAACACAGGTGAAAGTAGCTTCTAGCTTCAGGTTCAGGCAGAAGACAAGCCCAGACACAGCAGGAGGGGGTGTTGCGGAGTCTAACAGAGCAGAGTCAGCAGGTCAGGCCTGGCACTGCCTGTTCCTGGTGACCTGGGGAAGTGACTTCATGTCTCTGGTCTCAGTTTCCTCCCATGTCCCACAGAGATAATTACAGTGCCCATGAGACAGGGCTGCCAATGGGAGTAAATAAGACAGCAGGAGACCTACTGAGGGGGACAAAGGGCCAGGAGGAAGAGGCCACACCTCGTTGAAGGCAATCAGAGAGGGTTTCCTTCGGGAGGGGTGACTATGGGAGAGCTCTCCCCTGAAGAAAAGCTGAGGGTCTCAGAATGCTGCTAGATCCGAGCTCAGCAACCCTTGGTAGATCCCAGGATAAAACAGAAAATGAGTATAAAATCACTATTGGGAAGCCACGGTTGACGCTTGTGTTCAGGGTGCGCTGTCTGTCCAGTCCTGGGAAACTGCCCTTTCTGAATGAGCAGACAGCCAGCCCCTGCCCCAGGGCCAAGGTGAGAAGTAGCAGGTTGTCTAGCTTGAGGTTCTCTAAGGAATTGCCTGAAGCTAGTAACAATTCTTTCTCCACTCTAGAATTTGAGGTCTCAGAGACTTGGAGTGGGCTACACCTGGTATGAGGAACCAGGAGCCAGGAGTGGCCGGGATCCCACCCCTCTTTGGGCATGTGGTGACCTCAGTTCCTTAGGAAACAGTGGCCTCATGAACCCATGTAAAGTCTAAGGAGACAGACTGGAGCCCGCAGGAGACTCCTTGACCATCTTGGCAAATAACTTGGAATAGCCTAGTAATCAGAAGACTCAGTCTCAGATGTTTGCTTTTTCTACCAGAGGGATATCTGGCCTATGAATTTAGAAAAGATAATTCTGAATTCTATTTAAAACAAAAATAAGGGGCTAGGGATATAGCTCAGTGGCATAAGCACTTGCCAGGGAAGCACAAGGTCTCAAGTTCAATCCCCAGTACTGGAAAAGATAAATAAATAAAAAATAAAACAAAAACAAGGCAAACCTTGTTTTTCAAGGCAAACCTTGAAAGAACATGACAGATTGTAAGTGCATGTCACTATACTCTGGCCAAAGTCACAAGCGAAAAAACAAGTCTCATAACAACCTGAGAAACCACAGGGGCCTCACATCCAGCGAAGGGATGCCTGCACTGACCAGCATTCTCTGTAAACCTCAGAATGAACACCAAGCGCCGCAGAGACCCAAGTATTTACAGAGGGTGCTGACAGCCACTTTGCTCACTCGTGGGTACCTGTGGCAACATAGGTATCATCTTGATCAGCAAATCCGTGTATCTCTGCCCTGGTGACAACCTGTGTGTGTTCCTCCGTCTGTGCCTTCTGTCCCCACCCCCAGCCTGCAGGGCTCTGTCCTTCATTCTGGCTGCTGAGGCCCCAGGGAGGGTGCCTCTGGGGGGTCAGAGAGCTCAGGTCAGCTTCTACACTGTTCTGGCTCCTGATTGCAGAGCTGCAGGATCCAGCCTGCTCTCCCGCAAACCCGCCACCTTGTTCAAGGCCTTCTGCAGCTGCCTGCCTGGTGAAAGGGCTCCTGAGGGCTGCGGGCAGCTGCAGAGTTAAAACTGGGAGGACTGGTTCTGTAGTTAAGCTTCTTGGCCTGGAGCATCTCCAGCTCCATTTTCTTTCTTTCAGCTTCAAATGAGGCTCCATATGAAATTGGGCAAGAAGGCGCAGGGCAGAGGGGACCAGTTATTCCATAGCCTCCCTTGCCTGGCCAGAGCACAGTTCCAGCTCAGCTAGGATGATCAAGGGCCACCCAGAAAGGAGCTGACTCTCCTGGATTGCCATAGCGCAATCAAGCCAAACAGAGTCCTCTGAGAGTCCACCCTGCCCCCACCCCATCATTTTAGAGAAGGAAATGGGCCCAGAGAAGTAAAGCGAGTCTTGAGATCACCCAGCTGACAGGGGTGAGGGGGCACTTCCCAGGGTCCCAGGGCCCCACCTCTCTGCCCAGCACTCTTGCTGTCCAGGCTGCCTGTCCATCCACAGCAGCATCAAAGGGGCTCCACATAGGAGTGGGAGAACCTCCAGGAGGCAAGGCGCATGCACATCCCTCCAATCTGCCTCCTGCTCTTAATATAAGAAAAATACTACTCTTAACCTGTGAGATGTTCGATGTTAGATGTTAGATGTACTGTTTGTG